AAAAAAAAGAATCTAGCCGAAAGTCTCCAAGTAGTTTATTGCTGTTGCTTTCATCCATTTATTGCGGTATTGAGGATCGAATCCAGAGCCTCCCCAGTGAGTTACATCCTTAGCTTTTTTTTTTTTTTTTTTTTAAGTTTGAGGCAGGGTCTTACTAAGTTACTACATTCTCCTAGGCTGGCCTTGAATTTGTGATCCTCCTGCCTCAGCTTCCCAGAATACTGGGGTTACAGGCATGCACCACTACACAGGGCTTCTGTTCCACTTCTGCACGCTTGTTTTATTAAGGAATCGCATCTCTGGGGAAGAAGGAAAATAAATGATCAAATGTGAACCTCTCCCCATATGATGGCAACTTGAGGTAAGGCCTCCTCACCCACCTGGTGGCAGGTTGTCTTAACTGCAGGCTGAGCACAGTCCATCTGAGTTTATGACTCCAAACCCTGGCAGTAGGGCATGCTTTGAAAACTTGTTTGCTCTGTTTATTTTCCTAAACATCCTTCCCACTTTTTCTCCCGAAGGATTAAAGATTCCAAATTAGTAGAGTCAGTCAAAAAGTAATGAAATTTTCCATTAATAGACCTCAGACTTAAATCATGGAAAATGCACTAATTACAGACTTAGATCCAGGCCTCTGGGACGAGAGAGAGGGAGGGAGTGAGGAAGGTCCTGGATGCAACCTGTGCTGGACCGTCCTTCCTTCCTGTGCCACTGCCCTTTCCCTGGGCCTGGGGCTTCCTGCCGCTGGGCTCCCATCCCGGCCTAGGTTGAACGAGGCTCATGTCGAAAGCTGTGTAAGTCTGCAACCTAAATTCCTGGAAACTCCAAAATAGGGCCCAGAATGGACATAGGGGGCATTTTTTCTGTTGAGTTCTGGGAAGCAGTTTGGAGGGTGGTGCCAGGAGAAGGGAGAAGGGTAGAAAGACAGACAAAATGTCCATTATACCCAAGCCCGTCAGTTTCCTTTTTACATCTCTTTATCAGTATTTGTGACTGAGCTTCTTATCAACAGGAAACGCCTGCTTGACGGGATGAGGCAGGTCCAGCAGGACCAGGAATTGTGGGTAGTGTGTGGAGGGTGGGTATCCTGGCCGAATGGCCTTGGAAATCCCAGGAGCCAAGCTCTTTGCCCTGGCATCTGGTGAATCCTTCGATGCAGAGAGGAGAAAGTAAAAACCTTCTCTCCACAAAGATGCGACACTGGCCTCAAGGCCAGAAGGCCTGTCTTAGGGAGCTCTAAAAGGCCCTAGCTCTGGCCCTTTGTGACCAAGGACAGGTAACCAAACAACTCTTGTATAAAGCAAGGAGAATTGTCTTTGTCCCTCATCTTCATCAAAGCCCCTCTTTCTTAGGTGAGGAGAGGCCAAGTACCTGCCAAGATCACACACAACTTGGTAATAGTCATCCCGACTGACCCTTCTGCGTTATCTCTGTGCCCTCAGTCTGGTGCCTGTGTCAGGCATGCACGTGGGCACAACTGGGCACTTTGCAAAGGCTGCTATTTGAAGGAAAAGAAGAGGGGTACAGCATGACTGCCCTCTTTCTATTCTCAGGTGCTTTACAAATATTGATCATCAAACAAAGATCCTAATTGCTCAGATGTGTCCCCTAGGACAGTGGCAGATAGAAAATCAGTTTTCCTAGGAGGCAAAGATCAAATCTGAGTGCTGAAAATAAATACTCATAAGGAGTATTTTGGCCAAGCAAGGCTTTCTGGGTGGCTGAGAAGCACAGGTCTATGTATCTAGATGTCTTTCTTCAAACTGGCGTTCCAGTAGGAGAGGCAAGAAAGGAGATGAGCTACCTGGCTTCCCACCACTTCCCCCCTGCCCAAGGGTTGCTCTCAAGCAATTAGACTGCTTTTAGTGATGGTGGCGACAGAGATTTCAGTATGTCTCCTGCCCTGCTGTGTCTTCCTGGACAACCCCACTCTCTCCCTTCTCGACATTTGCTCCTGCAGCTGGGGATGTAGGTCATTAAGAGTGGGTGGGTGAGAAAGAACAGAAAAGAGACTCATCCAGACATGACACCCCGCAGGGCAGCAGTGACAACACTTGAACCTGAAAACTGCCTGAAAATAGACTGTGTCTATGACATTATGTAAATCATATGCAAAGTCAAGAAGCCCTCTGTCTCTATTTCTAGCAAATGAATGTGGCCCTGGTGGAAGCAGCTCTTTCCAAGAGTCGCCCACCCAGTGCGATGATCACGCTGCTAGCATCAGTCCCAGCCCTGGGATACTGGACTTGGGCTATGCACCCCACTCCCCACCCCCGGGGTGAACCTTGCAGATGGGAGCACTTTGCTGGTTTCAGACTGTTGATTCTCACACCAGGGAGGATAGAAGGAAGCACAGCATCCTCCTGGAAGGCTAGTTTGAGGCAGGACCCAGGGAAGATGGTGCCTGGGAGGGTGGAGAGGACTGTCCTTGAGGGCCCAGGTACCATGAGGCCTCTGCTGGGGGGTGGGGGGGATTCAGCATTGAGATTTATTTTATTTTTATTTTATTATTTTAGTACATGTTTGCAGTACATGGTTTACATTCACCTTGGGGAGTGGCAGCATGCACAAAGCACAGCTTGTTCCTTTCCTTAATCCCCTTCCCATGCAAATATCAAGTTTTATGCTGCCAGGGCCACCTTCCCCCTATTTAGGCAGGTACAGCACCCGTCACCCTCCAGGGGTACCTGGCCAAGCAGAATTTTCTCTCCTAGGAAAGTCGGCAGAGCCTGGGGTTGCCCAGGAAATTAGGGAAAGCTGCCAAGAAGCAAAGGGGGCGGCAGGTTTTCTTCCTTCAGCGGCAGGCAGGTTCCGCGGGGCTCCCTACCGAGGAGGGTCTCAGGCACAGGGCCTTTCCAAGGACTCTGCTGACCTGGTAGAGCAACGGCCTATTCTGCTTTCCCAGATCCTGCCCAGCCCTCGCAGAACCCGGGCTCTGCAATCTTTCCACTGCCTTCTCCCGGCTCTCCAACCAGAGCGTGTGGCTATCAGGAGGACCAGGTTGATAGGCAAAGGGGGGCGGAAGAGGCTGCCTTGGTGAGATGCTAGAAACCCCCTATTTATACCCTCCAAGGCTGGTCTAAGAATCTTCTGGAAGACGCTGGCTGTTGCGGGGGTACCCACGACCCCAGTGCGGAAGGCCGCAGGTATAGTCGACCTGGAGCAGCAGGGGGTCAGCAAAGTCTTCCCTGGTAGCAGGAATTGGTGCGTCTGATGCAAAGGCACGGATTTTCTAGGTTTGGGTGTCCCCTGACAAGGCCGTTTCCCAGCTTTTTTCAGTAACTGCCTCCCCCTTGTCCTGTCACGCCCACAGCTGTAGGCGGTGCAGTGGGAGAGGAATGAGGTGCTTCCTGAGCCTAAGGTGGGTCCCTTGCCGGTGTGCACCGACTCCTGTTTGGGGTGGGGGTGGGGGGTTGAGGAAGCAGGGCCCGATCTGCCTCTGAGTATGAACTCAGAAAGCTTCTTGCTAGTTGTGGTTTTGGGGGCACAGTCCCTGCAGACCCGAAGCCCAACAGGACTCACACCGGCAGCCGGCGAGTTGGACCGCTGCGGCTGTCCGCAGCCTGCTGGGTGGGAGGCGGCCGGGAGGAAGGCGCGGCTGAGCAGCCAGCAGAGGGCGACGTGGCGGGCGCGGTGGTCTGGCTGCTCCCAGTCTGGGATCGAACCAAGATATGAGCCCGCGCTGGGGTGACCGCAGCGCAGGGGCGTGCACTTGGGACCCTCTGCTGACCCGCCCCTCCCCTTCCCTCAGGACCGCTGCCAGCCGACTGACTACTACTGCAGAGGCGGGGGCTTGGAACGACTCCGCAGGAGCTCAGGGTTCAACCTTGACTTATTGAGGACCCAGTACGTGTTAGGCACAGGCCAAATGCTCCCACAAACAATATATCCGGGTAAGAACAGTATAATTTCCATCCTGAAAGCCTCCTATGGTGGCACAGAAGCGTCTGCAGACTGCTGTCCTCAGTGGCTTCCCTCCACCCTCCCCTGTCACTCCTCCTCCTTCTCCATTTAGGGATTTTTCAGTCTTTGGGAAGCTGCTACCTTGGATTTCTCCCTGCAGTCTCAGAACCGCTTTGCTCCCAAATCCAACGGAGATAGAAATCCTTCCGGCAGGAACCCTGATTCCTGATGGGGTGGATTCTAGCGCTCAGAGAAACTGCCAACTGTCCTAATGATCCTGTAACTCAACTGCTACGTGTTGCTTTCCGTTTTCACCCAGTTTCGCTTCCTGGTTCTCCTCCGGGCTTGCACAATGCTGGGAGACAAGCCTGGGAACATGCTGAGACCGGGCAGTGGAAGACACACCACAGGTCGGCCTGCGGAGGCTGTGTGTATAGGAGGGGGCAGGAGCTTTCTTCTCTGCCCTCAAGGGCTGGAGGCTAGTGGGCTGCTTCCACCCAAGCTTAGGGCTGACCTTGTCCTTAGCCTGAGCCCTGCCCCTGTCCCCCAAGTGCTTCCTCCAACCCACCTCCCTCCAGCCCACCAAACACCCTACCAGGGGCCATGGTTTCCTGTCGGTACATGGACAAATACCCTGGACACAGCTAAACACTAGATTTTTTTTTGTGTGTTTTTCTTGGGTTACAATGAGACACTCTCTGGGGTTTGACCAAGGTTGTGGGTCAGGGTCAATGAGAATCAGAAATCTGGGCACTGTAGGTTTCTTGGCTGGAGCTGAGTTTCTTTAGTGCCTTGGAGATTCCAGGGGAAGTGACCTCCAGCCCCAGCAGGCCCAAGACTGGGTGAGCCAAGGATGGCCCCTGGAACAGCTTAAGGCAAGATCTAGAGCATACAGGATTAGACTAGGAGTCACTTCCAACCTCCTGGACTCTGACACAGTTCTTTTCAGATCTCATCTTGAGGCACATTGCTAGGGGCCAGGGTATAGGAATAGGTGAAACTGGTAAACTTAGGTCACACAGGCTGACCTTCAAAGCAAAACAGAACTGGAAAGGTCTCAAAGGATGTCAGGTCCAAATCCTGCAGTGTGTCAATGAAAAGACAAACATTCTGAGATGGAAGAAAATCCCACTGTGGTGGTAGGGAGCAAGTACAGAGCAAGGATCAGAGCCCAGGTCTCCTCACTCACTCCAGCTTACCCTTCCATGTGTAGTCTGACACCCTTTCAATTATTCTGAAAGTTCCAGCCCTACCCTTATGACCTGTCACCTCTCCACACACCCTCAGCAGGACTTCAAGGGTGTTAATGGCCCAGCAAGGCAGCCAGGTTGCTGCAGGAACTAGAGGTTAGCAGAGTCAGGCTCCAGCTCTTCTAGGCTGCTGCCATTTGGCTAGCTGGGGTCTTATTGGGGAGATAGAATGCTGACATATAAGGCCATGGAGAGGGTCCCTGGGTACCTAAGGCTTGTCCCAGAGGCTGAAGCCCAGCAGGGCAGCTTCTGCTGAGGGTTGGGTGAGGCCCTTTGCCATACTGGCAGTCCTAGCCAGGCAGTGGGGTTGACCAAGGACAGGGAAAAGTGCAGGCCCAGGTCCAGGCCTAAACTAGGATTCTCTAGTTTGCCCCTCTCCCTGGCTCTGAAGCTTCTTTTGCATCCTGCCTTGGAAGTAGTAGGGGGTACAGCCTACTGGCATGGAGGTGGGGAGAAAGCCAGGCGTCAGGGAGCCGGCTACTTTGAGCAGGCCAGACAGCAAGGAGATCAGATTTCACCCCAGCTGTATTTTTGGCTGGATGAGTTGGGGGCCCAGCTGGGCCAGCACAGCTGCCCAAAAGGGGGGCACCCCTGCCCCAACACACACATACCCACTACCTTTACCCAGATGGGCCACCATGCCCTGCTGCCTCACCCTGCAGGCAGAGGGAGTCCAGTGGTCCTGGGCTAGTGAACAACTTTGGGCTTCTCTGAGCCTTGGATGAGCTTCTGTAGGGTCTTCTTGATGCGAAGCGCAGTGAGGCGGGCGGAGGGGTTAGGGTACCAGCACTCCTGCATCATCTGAGCCAGACCTGAGAGAACCTGTGGATTGCAAGAGGGGCAGGGGAGAGGAAGCATGGACATGAAGCTGGGAAGAAAAGAGACAGTGAGAGAGGACAGGAAGAAGAGGGTGAGAGTGTTGCACAGTGGACAAGAAGAGAGGCAAACAGTGAGGGGAGAATGGAGGGAACCAGGAAAGGAAGAGGAGAGGAAGGCAAATGGAAGAGGAAAAGAGTGGAGTGAGAAAGAGGGTAGGGGAAGGCAGAAAGCATGCTCAAGACATGCTCAGCCAAGACTCTAAGCAAGAAACACAGCAGGGACCCTCTGACTTTTCACAAGGCAAGGTGGAAAGTTCTGAAAATGTCAGATTGACCAAAGGATCCTAAGGAGGTGGAATCCACAGGCCAGGGCATTCTGAATCTACCCAAGAAGCCAGGGCCTCAGACACAAGTTCTAGGGCTGAGAAATCCCAGCCATGAGCCCGCACCCTGTGCCATTCCATCCCCAGCCTCAACTCATCAGCAGCATCAGGGCCCCTGGACAAACAGCACCTGTGGAACCTTACCCCACCCTTCCTCCTCCAGGACCCACTGCAAAAGGGAGATCTGTAAATCTTCAGGTTCCTGTCACTATCTGCAGCTGGAAACCCCAGTACATGAAGCAGTGACTCCCAGTCCTTGCAACAACCAGGGCTGGACCCAGTGGATGGTGAAAGCAGGGGGAGGGGGCACTGCCCCAAAAATGCATGTGTCCAGGATGAAGCCCACCCCAGAAAGCTCAGTGGTCTTGGAATGAGCTAACCTACCTCCTCTAGTTCCTGAGAGTAAGGGTATGTATATATGCAGAGGAATGCATCTATGTGGCTTTTTATGTATATCCATTGTGAGCAAATGTGTATGTGTTTATGTATACATATGTGCATATATTTAGTAATTCCTTCCATAAGTATTTATTGAGCATGTATTGCTTGCCAGGTACTATGAAAAGTAATGGACATAAGACTGAGCAAAAGACTTATGCTTTTTGTCCTCATGGGGCTAACAGTCTGGCATATTTGTGATGTGTATGTGTTTAAGAGTGTGTTTAGTAGTATATTCATGCCTGTATGAGTATGTTTTTATGAAAGTATGTAGAACTTTTTGAAAGCAAAAGACAAATGATAGCCAAGACTCTTAAGCAAGAATACAGCAGGGACCCTCTGACTTTTCACAAGGCAAGGTAGACGGTTCTGAAAATGTCAGATTGACCAAAGGATCCTAAGGAGGTGGAATCCACAGGCCAGGGCATCCTGAATTTACCTGAGAAGCAAAGGCCTACAAGTTCTAGGGCTTGAGTTCAATCCCCAGTACCACAAAAAAACAAAACAAAAACAAGTTCTAGGACTGAGAAATCCCAGCCGTGAGCCCCCACCCCATGCCATCCCATCCCCAGCCTCAACCCCAGCTCCAACAGAAGCCTCACCGGGTCTACAGCCAGCCGGTTGGGGATGGTGGGAGTCTGCTGGTCAACACACACCACTTTCTTCATGTCCTCGAAGCTGGGGTCATTGGGCACCAAGTCATAGAAGGGTGGCCTGTAGTCCTCCACAATACCTGGACATTGAGAGGGGATGAGACAATCACTTGGGAACCAAGGAGACCACCTGTCACCCAAAGGACAGCTTTGCCCAGCCTTTCTGACATAAGGGTCAGAAAGTTAGTTGTCTGGGAATGCTGCCTGTGAGAAGGATATCACAATAAATATATGTATTACTATTAGTAATTTCTACCTTTGTTTTACACTTTCCATGAGCCAGTTACTATGCTATCAACCTATGCAGTGTCCTGTTAGGCCTTACAACAACGCTGTGAAATGGATACTATTATTACCTTCCTGCTAGAGACCCAGAAACTGATGCTCAGAGAAGCTGAGCCCAAGATTACACAGCCAGTCTGGCAAAGTCAAGTCTCCAACCTATGCCGCTGGATTCCTACGCTAGGTCTCCTTCCAGTCTTTCCCCAGCTGACTTCTCCCCAGGATCAGGTACTCCTTCCTGTCTCTGACCATCACTGATGCCCCATAATATGTAATCTTCACCAAACGCTTGCTACATGCTAACCACTGTCCTAAAGGTTCTGCATCAAATTCCAAACCGCCAAAAGGCCAAAAGGGGTATGCAATACTCTTAGCTTATAAGCCAAGAAATTATGGCAAATGAGTTTAAGAAATTTGTCCAAGATCAACAGGCAGTACATGAGAGTTAGGATTTTTTATTTTTATTTATTTATTTATTTATTTTGCGGAACTAGGGATTGAACTCAGGCCCTTGCGCTTGCCATGCGAGTTAGGATTTAAGCCTAAAAGTCCAATACCAAAGCCCTGCTCCCAAGCTCCATGCTCTACTTAAGGGAGAGCAGCTAATTAATTGAGGAGGACTGTAGTAAGAACAAGAAGACACCTCTTCAAAGGGGAGAGAACTTTTACCCTGGCCCACATAGCACCCACCAGGGAAGGCCCCGACCTCCGCTGATGGTCACAGCCAGCAGCCCTCCACCCTGTCCCATGTCCTCCCAAATGTGAGTCCTTAGGAGTGTTCTGAAAACTCTGCCTGGGGAGCTGCCGCAGCCTCATGCCCATCCTGCTCCCCAGCCCTAGGCTGGGGACTGTGGCCACACAGGCCACAACCTCGGTGAAGCCTTCGCCAGCTGCTGTCCCTATGGCAGGCTTCCAAGCCGCCCCTGCGCAGCTCGTCCCTAATCAGTGCTGCGCAGAGGCTTGAGCGTGTCTAATGAGCCTTTAATCAGTGCCGGGGCTGACACCAGATTACAGTGTTTATAATGCGCTTCGAATCTGTGTGGGGTGACAGAGCTTCCCCCTCAGCCCAGCAGCCTCCCTCCCAGCCCTTCCTTTTCAGCCTTCAGCTTTGTCCCAGAGGCTGTGGCTGTGTCTTTGTGCCCTGTCCTACAGTTCCAGCCTCCTCTAGCCCACTTGGGCTGTCCAGGCCCAGGATTGGGAGCTGCTGGGGAGTGTCCCCAAGGACTGGTGACACCCAGATCTCTGTGCTCAGCGCATGGTCAGTGAAGGCAAATGGAGTCTGGCAAGAGGCTGGCAACTGGTAGGTGCTCAAGAATAAAAGCATTCCTGTTATGAAGGAGCAAGGCTCCAGTCAAGTCCTAAAGATTGTCCTCAACCTGCCAGGACTACTGGCAGCTCCTGGCCGAGGACAGCCTCCACAAAGGCTAGCAATGTTCCCACACTGCAGACAACCTGTCATCTTATTTATTTATTTTATTTTAGGGAAGGGTCTACAGGATGTTCAGGGTCTCACTACTAGATCGGACTCATAGTGATCCACCTGTTTACAGCCTCCCAAGAGCTGGGATTATAGGCATGCATCACCATGCCTGGTCTTGATTACCACCTCAGCACACCCCAGGGGTGGGCCCAGCACAGCAGGCCCAGGGATTGAACACCCGGCCCCTGTGCCTGCTTGCAGGCACTTTAATCCACTAAGCTATTTGGCTGGCCACAACCTGTCATCTTCTGTCTACCCCAAGCCTGGACATCACTGGCCTGGAGCAGGTGCCTCCACTTGCTCCTAGTCCCCCCAAATCAGAGTTCTCTGTGGTAACACACAGTCATAATGAGACCACTGCAAGCAAGCAGGGTGGCAGTGACAGCCTGCGGCAGTGATAGCCTGCATTTTTGTGGATAAAGAAATGAAGGACCACAGAGGTTCAAGTGTCATAGTCATAAAGATCCCTGACCCCAGACTCCAACTGCCTGGTTTTGGACCCCGAGGCGCTTCTAGCCTGCCACTATTCTGCACCTCAGCCTCATCTACAAAATGGGGATAATACTACGGCAGGCACACATTCTATTATAACAGTAATGACCATGAATACTGAGTGCTAGATGTTGTTCCAAATATTTCACTTCTCAACAAACAGAAGCTATTTTTACTCTCATTTCACAAATGAGGAAACTGAAACAGAGAGGCTGCATGGTCTTTCCACTGCCACAGCGAAAGCTGGACCTGAGCCCAGGCAATCTGATGCCAAGCCCAGGCCTTAACCACTAAGCAGTACCACCTCCTTGTCAATGCAGGAGACTTCAATATAATAAGTATACAGTCGATAGCATGGCATATGTTTAATCCCAGTAACTGTTAGCTGTTAATAATATTTCACAGTCAGACTGACAGCCCAGAGGAACCCTCAAAGGTCACTCAGCTGAGCCAGGTGGCGAGTGGCCGTGAAGGGATGCCAGGAGGTCTAGTTCCAAATCCCTCAGGCCATGGGCACCAGCCACAGCAGAAAGTCCCACCTCCACCTGCCTCACCCCACCCCACAGGACGCAGTGGGTCCTCACCATTGACAATGGTCCGCCGAGTGATCTCCCACAGCACCAGGCCAAAGGCCCAGATGTCTGTCCACTTGTAGGACTCGAAGCAGTCGGTGCGGATCTGCTCATCCAGCACCTCGGGTGCCATGTACCGCTTGGTGCCCACTCTTGGGTTGTTGCCGATGTCCAGGTAATCGCTACCCTGGGAGTGCATCACAGCCAGGCCTGTGGGTACGAGGCCTGTCACTCCTGCCACCACCCTGGCCCACACCAGGGCTGCCTCGGGTGGGGATGGACAGTGATGTGAGGGACAGGGGAGCAGGCAAAGGGAGACCTGCCCTGAGATGACCTGGAAGACAGTGGCCAGAGGGAAACCAGCTGCCCCAGTCACCCTTCACCCTTCCCAGGAACCCAGCAGGATGTGAATAGGCAAGGCAGGCTTCTTATGCCCATTTCACAGAGCAGAACCTGGAGGCCCAGGAAGGGCAACCGTGAAGCCATAATGAGAACCCAGGTTTCTGGTTCTCTATCCATTTCTCCCAGCTCCAGTGTGGATGGTAGAAGAAATCTGGGCTTGCAAAGGGTGTTAAAAGTACCTTGGGGGGCTGGTGAGATGGCTCAGTGGTCTAAAGCATCTACTTAGAACAAGCTTAGCAAAGCACAGGGACCACAGTTCAATACCCCAGCACCACATGCCAGCCAGCCCCGCCCCCTGGTGGGCTGAGCTGGCCACACACACACACACACACACAAATAAATTAAAAAAAAAATTAAAAAAAAAAAGTACCTTGGGTTCTTTCAGGAGTGAAATGAAGCAAAACACTTTTCCAGGTTTTTAAAGCACTACTATGACCACCCACTCCCATGGAAAACAGGTAGAGAGGCACAGTGCAAAAACCACGCCCACCTGCAAAGGACCCACCCCGCCCACCTGTGCACCTCACCCCTGCACAGCTCACCCAAGTCTGCGATGCAACATTGAAGGTTGCTCTTCACCAGCACGTTGCGGCTCTTGAGGTCGCGGTGGGCAATGGCCGGCTTGCCCTGAGTACCAAAGATCTCCATGTGCAGGTGTGCCAGGCCGCATGCTGCAGACACAGCTAGCTTGAGGGCCAACTGGGGCTCCAGCGTCTGCCTCTGCAGGAAGTCATAGAGGGAGCCGTGCTCATGGTAGTGCGTGATGAGCCACAGCTGTGTGCTCGAGTTGCGGGAGGTCATATCTGAGGCGATGAAGCCTGTGTGAAGAGGGGGCAGGATGGCTCAGCCAAGGGGCTGGGGAGGAAGAAAGCTGGACTGGCTAGGGCGGGGGCAGGGAGCGCACTAGGTCAGGGTAAAGGTGGGACTTGAGACAAGGTTGATTGGATTTACGATTTAGGTCAGAAACTGGAGCTGGAGTCAGGTGGGCTGGGAGTCCTTCAGGAGTAGGGCGATGTCCAGAGGCCCGTGGACCATGACCCAGGGATGGGGGGATAGGAGTCCCAGACCCATCACTGACTGTGTTTGTCTCCCTTGCCTAGGATGTTGTCGTGTCGGAGCAACACTGTATTGTAGATCTCCGTCTCCCGGAACCAAGACTGCTCATCCCTCGAGGAGAAGATCTTGATAGCCACACTCTCACCATGCCACAAGCCCTGCCACACTTCGCCATAGCGGCCCTTTCCTGATCCAGTGGCCAGCAAGGAAGGCAAGGGTTATACATGGGGCACAGAGAGCCCTGGAAGAGCTGCCTCCACCCATCTTGATGCTATGCAGACCTGAATTTATGGGTAACTTAATCCAGACCCAAACCGAGCTAGCGACCACCCCCACTCCTGCAGAAGGACCGCATCCCAGTCAGTTCCGGGCCCTGAGAATTCCCATTCTGACCCAGGCCCAACTCCATGGGTGTCCCTGGAAGCCAAGAGCCCCCTCATCCTGATCCAGGTTTGTGGGAGCCCTCAGCCCCCCCCCTCTTGGGCTCACCTACTACTCACCCACACATTCCACCAGGGTGACCTGCCGTGCCACTGTCCTTTGCACCAGGAAGGGGAGCCCTGAACCACTGCCTGTGGTGCAGTTGCTGTCCAGGAATTCCTGAGGGTACCAAGAAGCCCCTGAGAGGCTGCCCCACCAGCTGTGGCCCCATTCTTTGTCCACATCAGGGTCTGTCCTGCTGCTTTGTCTCAATGTGTTCCCTCCCCACCCCCAGCTCCTAGCCAGCTATGATCTCTGGGTGACTCCCTCTGATTCTGTGGCTCCTGTATTCCCTCCCTCAGCCCTCAGTTCCAAATCCCTCCAGACCCGTACCCCCAACATGCTGTCCCTCTGCTCGGGTGATTTCAGGATGAGGCTGGACTCGCCCAGGTCACTGTACAGGCCTCGCTGCTTCTCCCGCCTTCGCCGGATATGCCACAGGCCCAGGGCACCCAAGGCCACCAGCACTAGCAAGGCCAGCACAGGGCCCAGGATCAGAGGCAGATGGCTATCTACTTTTGGCTGCTCTGGAGGAGTCTGGGTGGCTGGAGGAGGAGTATACTGAGTCTCAGCTTCCACCAGGCCAGCTTCCCTGCCCTTGGATCAGACCATTCTGCCAGTCAGATCCCAGCATGCTGGTCCCCCATGCCTGCCCCTCACCCCATAGAGCACAAAAGAAAAGCAAGGTAGGGTGGGGTCTGAGAAGATGGAGAGGGGCTGCTGGACCTACTCTCCAGCCACAGGGATACATTGTGGTTGCAGAAGGATTGGTGGCAGCAGAAATGGTTCACAAACTCAGTGGGACGCCCCCTGCAGAGCTCTTCGTTCCGACTCGCACAGCCCTGGAACTGCTGGCGGTGACCTTCCTCATCCACAAACACCACTGCTGTGCACCAGAGCCCCTGGCAGGTGGTCCCCTTGCAGTGTGGGTTCCGACACGTGCAGTTCACCAGGTACTCCACAGGGTTTCCTGGGAGACACAGCAGAGGCTCAGCCCGGCGGGAGGTAAGCTTGACCCTCACTTCTGCCCCACTGACCGCTCCCTGCCATCCCTCAAACAAGCCCTTTGGGTCCTGGCCTTCTACGTCCAGCCCTGATCTCCTTTCCTCAGAGCCTTACTAGTCAGGGCAGAGGAGACTGACAGGAAATCTTCTGCCCCCATCCACCCCCAGCCCCAGGTCCAACCTACTGTTCAGGCCCGAGTGCTTTCTCAGGCTTTCCCTGCCAACATTCCCACTCCCTCCACCCCACCTATAAGCCAGTTGTGGTTCCCACCCTAGAGTGTGTCAGGGCACTGGCCTGAAGATTGGTATCCAAAGGACAAACAGCGAAGGATGGGGTGGCTGAGCCTAACTGAGCCCTCTTAGAGCCTGACTTCAGTCCAGCTCCCATCTCCTGTCGCTAACACTTCAGATTTGGTCCTGCAGGAGGGGACCTGGGCTGAGCCCATGCCTCCCGCTGTTCTCTGCATACTCACCCTGGGTCAGACCCAAGGCCATCAGCAGCATCAGAAGGCCCCTTTTGGGGTGGGCCAAGGTCATCGTCCCTGGAGAGGAGAGGCGAGGTAAGTTCTGCAAGATGTGACAGCTGCTGATCACAACTTGTTCCTACCAGGAGGAAATCACTAGGAGTTTTTTATTGGTGAGGGGAGGCAGGGAGGCCACCTCTCTGCTCCTGTGTCTGGCTTCGGGGCGGGGCCTGCAAGGGAAGTCCTGATTCACTTCCCTATGGAAACCATCCTGTTAGGGGTGAGGGTGGCAAGCCATGTGTGAGTGACAGGGGCCTGAGGCAAGGCGACTCTGTGCCCCTCTGCTGAGTTCTGACTGGAGGTGGGCTGGGAGGGCCAAAACTGGAGTACCAGCGGGCTCTTCAGCAGTGCCGTAAGTCCTCTGCCTCCTGCTCAACCTCTTGCAACCTCCACCCCTGCCCACCCCTTTCCCAGTGCCCTCCCCACCCCCCAGCCCTGGCTGCCTCAAACATAAACAGGCTCCTGTCTTCACTTCCTGCCATTCAGGGTCCTGCCAAACCGGGAACAGGAATCAAGATTGTTTAGATTGAAGTCTGGATAGAACAGGCAGCAGTCACGCAAAGGAGAGACTTAAGGGCAGACTGTGAGGGGAGGTGAGGGTGGGAGACAGCTGCAGGGCCTGAAGGAGCCACCTGGGCTGAGACACACAGGACAGAGTCCTGGGACATCACAGAATTTGACTCCTGACTTTAGAGATGGGATGGGACTAAGGCTCACACCCGGGAGGGAGCTTGCCCAGGGCCAGATATGTGTTGACTCCTAGTCCAGTGTTGTAAGTGTACAAAGTGTGAACAGTGCTGGGTCCTGCCAGGTGTCAGGGAGCCCTTCTGCTATCTCACTTGAGAAATAGGGGCCTCTCAGAGCTGTTCTCTGGCCCCCTTCTCCCTCACTGCTGTTCAGGGAAAGGGCCAGGGGAGGGCTGTGGGTGTGGGAGAGGAAGTGAAACACTTAGACACTGAATGTTTGACCTCCCATGGCTGGCAGAGTGGGACTTTGCCAGAAGTTTGATGGACAGGGTTAAGGGGAGTTAATTCTCATCTACCATAGTCTCCAACCAACTAGAGCTCAGAAGCTGCCCCTCCTTCATTTCTCAAAGCTTTAGAAAAAGTCAGTAGCTGGCAGTGTGGGTCAGCCGTACAGTGCATACCTAGCATGTGAGGCCCAGCCCCGGGACCTCTTCCCCTAAAGAGAGGAGGAGGATGGTGATCAGACAGCCATGAGGACTTTGTGAATGGCTGAGAGCTTGCAGGTGTGTGTCTGGGATTGGCGCCTCAGCTAGGGTGGCTAATACGAGTTTGAGAATGGCCATTGGCTTGATAAAGTGAGGCTGATAGGGTTGGGTATGTGGCTGCATGAACCGCAGATGTCCTGCTGTGTAAGAATGATGCCAGATGACCACCTGAGATACTGGCACTGTGAGGACCAGGTGGCTGGGGGTGGGGTGGGGGGCTTCACGGGCCTCTGCCTCATGGCCGCTCTGGCCTTCCTGCTGGGCTTCCTCTGCCCTAGAGGCCCAGGCTGGGGGAGGAAACAGAGCCCTGGGCTGCTGCTGCTGCTGTGTCCCCAGCCTCTGCCTGATCTTCTGCCTCTGGTCTCTCCTGGTAGCCACTGAGGACTCGGGCAAGCACTCTGAGTGAGGGCTGGCACCTGGATAAAGAGAGAACCCCAGGTGAACTGAATGTGGTGGTCTTCACCTCCCTGGATGGTGGCTAAGAAGAGGGTACAGGCAGGAAGGAAAAAGGCTGACGTGAAGGATGAAAGGTGGCAGCCTTCTAGGGTCTTCTGCTGAGCTTCTGAGCTTCCACTTGTCTGTGTCTCCCATCCACCCACACCCCTCTGTCACACAGAGTCCTCTGCAGTGGGTTAGAAATGCACATCCTTTGGTCTCACCGTCACTTCAGATTCTTACTCAATCTACCTGGGACCAGCAAGGAACATGCATTCTTCAGGGAATTCTGATACATCTCTGTGGGCACCACACTTTGAGAACTGCGTCCTCCACACAGTTATGACTAAGTCCTGTACTTCTGCCTTGCTGGGCAGGGCCCTGCTGGTGAGAACAGGCCACATAGGGAAGGGACCCTCACTCCCATTGCCACAGGAGACCTGGTGACACTGAAGCAAGGATGGACACGAGGACTTTGTTCTAGATATCGGCAGGGTAGGGAAGAGCTGGCAGGATTTATAAAACTCACTTCTGACCTAATAATCCTGGGAAGACTGGGACTGTCGAATTCCCAATGGAGCCTTTGTGAGATTGATATAGAAGGGGTCCTGGCTCAACACCATCACTCAGAAATTTGACTGTAGCAATGCCTGGGCCTAGCAGTATCTTTTTGCTTCTAAGCCAAACTTCGAGAAAGATCTCCTGCAGAAAAAAGCATCAGGGGTGTTGGCCAGAAATAACAAATGTTAAAACTAGTTTCAAACATTAGCTTAGCACTGTGAAATAATAACAGTAGTTTGTCTGCTCCTTGTACTAATTAGGGTGCATCTCACTTACTCCTCACAACAGTCCAGTGAGGAATCCAGGGCTTGGGATGGTGAGTTTCTTGTCCAGAGGCAGTAAGTCTGCCTTGGTAAGTTTAAGTTGCTGATAAGAAATCCTCTTTGTCCTTGTTATTCTTCCAGTTGTTTGGAGTTAGGTGAGTCCTCCAAGGAGAAAAAAATTGTATAGGTTTTCAGAAGACATTAACAGCCCATTGCTGCTGTCGCCAATAGGTTTCCTACTCTGGTTTACTTGTAAGTGTCGATACCCAGAGACATGCAGTAGGCTTAGTCAGTGTTTGGGCCTCAGGTGGGGGAAGCCATGGTGGGGACGCACCTGGGAGGTGGCTGTTGATTTTTTTCTCCCTATCACACCTGAGGGACTGATTAAACCTGTTCCTGTCAGCAGCAGGGCTCAGCCCAGCAGTGCCTGTTACAAGGAAGGGAAAGCATTATGTCGAATGCAACCATCCTTTTTTTTTCTTCTTCTTCTTTTCCTCCTTTTTTTGGACCCCAGATTGAGCCTAGGGCCTCTTGCATTCTAAGTGAGTACCCTACTGCTGAGCTGTATCCTCAGCCCAAACATAACCATTTGCCTTGCATACACTTCATGAAGTCATGCTCCAGCAGCACCAGGCCAAGCTGTTCACCTGGAGTTGCCTTTACGATTCAGTCCCACCAGGTTATTAGCCCTTTACAACCATGTATTGCAGCAGAACAAGTCTGGACATTAGAGTCACCGGCAGAAGATGGAGACAGCACAGCACAGTTCTTCCTTGTCTGAGGGGAAGGTGTTCCAAGGCCCCCAGTGGGTAGCTGAAACTGTGGATCATAGCAAATCCTATGCACACTATGATCTTTTTCCTACACATCCACACCTATAATAAAGTTGCTTATACCTATTTTAGTTTAATTTAAACCAAATTATTTAGTTTAAAATTAGGCAGGGCAAAATCGGACATGGTGGTACATGCCTATAATCCCAGCACTTGGGAGACTGAGGCAGGAGGATGGTTGCGAGTTTGAAGCCAGACTGGGTTACAAAGTGAGCTCAAAGCCAGCCTCAACTACATAGTGAGAACCTGTCTCGAAAGTAAGTAAATAAATAAGGCAGAATAAATAGATTACCAATAAATAGTAACACATCATAACAATTATACTGTAATAAAAACTTTTACTTTCATCTTTTTTTTTTTTTTGATGGCTAGCTTAGCCTACCCTGAGGGGGACACTGGCGCAGCATGCGGTGCTGGGGATCGAAGCACAGTCCCTGCATGCTTGCCTGAACTTGCCTATAAAGGCGCTTTAGACCACTGAGCTATCTCACTGGCTCATCTTTTATTTAAAGGAGAAACTGTACAGCTTCTCCATCAAAATCAACAGCTTCACTACTCTTGCCCTTTGGGGGAATTATGAAGTAAAATAATGGGTATGTGAGCACCAGCCTGGCAAAATCTCTGCAGCCAATCTGATTAGTAAGATAGCAGACTACTGGGTAGGGCAGCTTCTCCAGCATAGACCCTGGACAAATGACACTTGGTGTCCAGGAGGGATGGAATGCAGCCGTGCAAGATTTCACCACGCAAATCAGGACCAGTGCACAATTTAAAACTTGCAATTTTTTTATTTCTGGACATTACTTTTGCTTTCACTTTGTTGAATCCCCAAAGTGCTTTATCACTGCACTATATCTCCCTTGTTGTTTTATTTTGAGATAGGTAAGTTACTCAGCCTGGCTTTGAATTTGTGATCTTCCTGCCTCGGCCTCCTGAGTGGCTGGAATTAGGAGCCTGTGCCATCGTGCCTGACTCTCCACTTATGATTTCAACACCACAGCTGACTGCAGATAACAGATAACCCCAAAAAGCAAAACTGCAGATAAGCAAGAAGCCAATAAGGGGAAGGACTGCTGCATAACATGAGATCAAGGCCTGAGCTCTGGATCATGTAGCTCTGGGTTCAAGTCTTGCCTCTATGATTTAGAGCTATGCAACTGGGGCAAGTCACTTAACTTCCTGTACTTAGACTTCTCCTTATATGTAAAGTGAGAAGAATAGCAGTGTTTACTTCATAGCTATAATGTAGTAGAAATTATTTAGTAGAGTACTAATTAATACACAGTAAGCACTTACATGTTACCACAGCCCCAATCATGCTATTTACATCACCTGATGAGCTTTGGACAAGTTATTCAGATCTCAACTTGTTTTCTGTCTTATAGGATGAGCATGTAACCCCTCTGCTGCTCAGTGGTGACCAAGATTACTTGAGAAAAATACCTAAGTGTCTACATAATAAGCGCTCAAAAAATAGTAGCCATTTTAAATTAACAACTCAGTGACAAAGAAGACAGGTTAGGGGACAGGTACGAGGACACGTGGATCGATGAGAGATCCCAACTCAGCCAGGTGCTGCCCCAGACAGGGAGGGCTACTACTGCCCACTCAGGGCCTATACTTGAGGAAGAAAAGAGGGGCTGGGCAGCCAGCCCAGAGATCTCAGGGCTTCAGGGCCCAGGGCAGACTGAGAAACTGGGGTCCCAGCCCAGGGAGTGCCTGGGACCCGCTTTGGCATGAGGATTAGGCAACTGTCCCGGCTTGGGGCGAGGCTGGTGGGATGGAGTTGGTGTCAGCTTTGCTAGGCAAGCGCTGCAGGGCTAGCCTGGGAAAGGTCAGCCCCAAGGGACGTTCAACAGCGCTCAAGTGGACACCCACTCCCAATCCAGCCCAGTAGTGAGAATGCGTCTGCCCATTTAGGAATTCAGGTAAGAGAGAAAAGTTAAAGATTTCTGATTCCCAGTCAAGACTCCAGGTTCAGAAAGGGGACTGGGCAGATGGATCTGTACAGGGAAGATAGCTGGTGCTCCTGAGTAGCTGGGAGTGGCCCTGTGGCCACCTCTCAGATTCACCCAAAAGAAGGGCCCAGTGGGGCGGGGGTCACGTGGCCCTGCCCGGTCCCGCCGGATCCGGCCCGCAGCCCTCGACTCACCTTTGGGTCCGCAGACAGGACCCGAGTCACACGACGAGCGCTGGGCCGGGGACAGGGAGGGGGCCGGGGGCCAGGCGCGGCCCCGGACGGGGCTGGAGCTGGGGAGGGGCTCGCTCGAAGCTGCAGGCGCGGCGGCCTCCCGGGACTGGAAAGGGGGCTGGAGCAAAAATGTTTCTTATTCCAGCGTCTTCCTGCCTGGCTCGGCTCCACCACTCCCTCCTAATAAACTGTTTCCTATTGCCCAGCGCGCCGACGGGCTGCCTGTTGGCCCGCAGGACCGGGCCCCTCGCGCCGCTCCCGGTCTCCAGGCCACCCGGCTCGGAGTCCTGACCCCGCCCCAGCTCCCTCCACCGCCTCCCTTGGGCCTTGAACTCGGGTCCCGGGCCTGAGCCGTAAAGGCCACAGCCGAGACTGGATGTGTGTATGGGGCGCCGTCTGGCGGCTAGGGTGGGGGGCACCGAGGGAACTGTAGGGCGAGGGACGTCACCTGTCCTTAACCCGCCTTCAACCCGGGTTCTCAGTCTAAGAGGCTTAGCGCAGCAGTGAGTGGCTGGCGGGGTCCAGATAGATTTTGGCTCCGCCCTCTGGGACTCTGCTGCGGGCTTAAATCCTTTTGTCTCCTCCCTCCTGTCCCCACACCCACTGTCCCCTCCCCATCAGTGCCCAGTACAGGGGTATAGAGGCCCACATTGGGAGGGGGGCTCTGGGCCAGTGGTGAATACCAGCTCCGGGCTCTTGATGAGGGTGCTCTGGCCTCCAAGGCAGCCAGGATGGTGAAGATGCTGGGAGCTGCTGGGACTGTCCCCCTTCCTGGAAGACTTGGGGCCCAACTACTGGAGCCTCAGAAGCGAGGAAACCGAGCTGAGAGGCATAAAGATCTTCCTCCCCACGCTGGAGGCAGACCTGCTTGCCCTGTTGACCCCAGGCACTGTGAGCCTCCCAGTCTGCACACGCTCTGAAATCAACCTACCTACTGGGAAACCAGGTTGCTTGTGTGACCTGAGGCAAGGGACACATTAGCACCTTCATCTCTTTTGAGCAGAACGTGCAATGATCCTAGGGCTATGAGAGAGGGCGTGACATCTATATCAGTTTATAGTAAGGTTCCCCTGACAGAGCCTGACCAGGAGTAGGCATTCCCGCCATGAAGGAGTCTGTGAATTAAGCTAATATGTGAGAAACCTGGGGATGGCGTGACCTTAGAGCTCGCTGAAGGCCTCCAGGGTGTCTTCCACTAACAAGGAGATTCTGCAAGGTGGGTTTCCCACTCCACCAGCCCTTCTGCAGGAATAGAAGGTGGGGGTCAACAGCCAGAGGCTCATACAGCATCGGCTTTGGTTGTTGATAACTTGCTTCCTCTGCTGAAATCCCTGTTGTGAGCCTAGTGAAGTTTTACAAGCTTGCCACACCCAAATTTCAGTGTCCCCAAGCCAATAGGAAGTACTATGGGATTACGGTATCTGTCCTTTAAGATTATGGCAGCCACTTTGGCACTGCATTAGCAGCAGAACTAGGAATGTAGCTTTGTGGCCACATCATTCACAACCACCTTCCCCCTGCGCTGCTATGGCTTCTGGCCAACCCTTTCTTCCCCCAACCTATGGATCTCTGTGGAAGTAAGAGCTATGGTTCAGGACCCTGTGGGACCTCCACCATCTGAGTTCCAGTCCTGCCCCCTCAAGGAAGCAGATAAAAGAAATCATTGAGGAGATCAAGATCTGAGAGATGGTGGGTGTGGGAGACAGTCTGGGCAGGGTTCATGAAGGAAATAATAATAGAGTAGGTTTTGTGATGAAGAACCAGTGGCAGATGGCACTGGAATCTCCCCAGCCTTCCACGGCACTGAGCCCTCTGGATCCTGAGTGGTACTTTGGGGGCTCTTGCAACCCCCTTGCCTCCCACAGCACACAAGGAACCTGGGGAAAGTCTCAGAGGAGGGACACAGACTTGGAGAAAGCACTGGAGCCACAGGCCAATGAGGACATGGAAAAGGAATTACAGACTGTGTCCAAGTCTACAGGAATTAACTGCTCAGAGGGACCAGCTGTTCTCTGTACTCAATGAAGACAGAACAAGAGGAAACAGGCCCAAAAGACGCTCTGATCAAGATTTAGGTATGCAGGGGCTGGGGATATAGCTCAGTGGGGGGGCTGGGGATATAGCTCAGTGGTCTAAGCGCCTGCCTGGCAAATTCAAGGACCTGGGTTTGATCCCCAGTACTGCATGCTGTACTGGATGCATAGTGAGACCCTGTACCAAATAAATAAATAAATAGATTATTAAAAAAAAAAAAAAAAAAGAGGGGCCGGAGAAATAACTCAGTAGAATAAGCGCTTGCCTGGCAAGTGCAAGGGCCTGAGTTCAATTCCCGGTTCCGCAAAAAAAAAAAAAAAAAAAAAAAAAAAAAAAAAAAAAAAAAAAAAAGATTTAGGTATGCAGAGGGATTTCCCAGCACTGCCTGAAACAGAGGCCTGGAACTTGTGGGGCTATTTGTGGCAGATGCCGCAGGGCAATGGACTCCTTGACCTTTCAGGATTAGCTACGAGTAAAATTCAAGCATCACGGTAGCCCAGTGCAGAGCCTGCTTCGTGGGTATGTGGCCTATGCAGACATTCAGGCCTCCATACTTGGTTTAATGCTCTTTGGTTGCCATCTTGACATTCTTTATACTATTTTAAATGATTTTTAAAGAACAATGAACTCAGAACTTTCGTTTTTGTACTAGGTTGCATAAATAATGTAGCAGTTCTGTACAAGAGGAATAGAAAGAAAAGCAAAAGAGGGACATTAGCAGAGGGTGAGCTGGGCTTTGCTCCACTTAAATTGCAGAATAGAGGGCTGAGGATGTAGCTCAGTGGTAGAGCACTTACCTACTATATGCAAGACCCAGCATTCAATGGCCAGCACCAAAAAAGGAAAAAAGAAGGGAGAAATGTAGAATGGGAAAATTAGATTAGACAGCCTATGAGTTTGTTCAACACTCCAGACACAAATCCAGTAGAACAGAGTACTCTAGGAGGACCAGTTAGGGCTCTCCTTTTAGGGAGAAGTGGGAGAGATACCACTGGCCTATTTATTAAAAACCCAAGAGAGATTTTTACAGCAGCTATATGAATGGAGTCTAAGTTATGCCCAGAGGAAGAGGGAGAGGAAATGACCCTGTAGGTGTCCTTCAGCTCTCGGGTTGGGGGGCATGGTAGTATTCTGAAAGGAACAGCAAGCAGGGAGTGAGTTCTAGGTTCCAGGCCTGGATCACTTCTTTGTGCCTCCCTTTGCTCCTTTGTATGCTGAGGGATTTAGGCCAGAGAATCCTGCAGGCTCCTCCCAGCCTTCTGTGCTATTCTTTGGCTCTAAGGTTCAGGAAGCTACTTGTCCCAGGTTCTCTTATTGTAACTCAGGCCAGAAAGCAGTTTTACTGGTACCTAGTTTGGGGAGGGTGGAGAAGTCAGAACTTCTCAGGAAGTGGCTGGCGGACACCAGCAAGATCCCAGAGCTGGAGTGGCCAAGCCTTGTTCCTCTTTCTCCCAGCTCTTCCCCATGGCCTCTAGATGGGGTTGTCTACTTCCTGCTCACCGCTCAGCAATCAGGATGACCCATCTCAGGATGGAGCCTGCTGAGGGAAGAAGGGCCCATCAGGGCGGAGGAGACTGGAGTTTAGCAGGTGCCGGGAGAGGCCACAGGAGGTGGTGGGCATGAAGCCCATCTCCTCTTGCCAGTGCAGCAGACTCTAGATTGCCCTTCTCCTGCTCTTCTTGGAGCCCTCAACTGGCTCCACCAGGCTGGCCTGGCTGCTGAGGGGCAGAAGGGGACATCGGGCAGAATGCACGCTGTGAGTGAGAACACTTGCCAGTCAGCCTCGGTTTCCATACCTGTAGGAAGGGTTGAGAACTCCTTCTCTGCCACATTCTGAAACTAACAGCAGAGTACAGGAGCAGGTCCTCTACTGCTGTGAAGCTAACACCAGATGTCTGGTTCGCAGGGAGGGAGAAGGCCACGCTGTGGAACAGGAGAAGGAGCATTGAACTGGGAGTCAGCAGACCAAAGCCAGGAGTGGCAGCAGCATGGCTCCTGTTTCATCTGTTCAAAGACAAGTAAGAATGGTTGCCTCCTCCAGTGGTTACACGAGGGACTGTTACACAGACGAATACAGACAGAGTCGCTGGAGGGGGCTGTAATGTAGAAGGCAGCCATTTTGAAAAAGTTAAGGGCCTGGGGAGATGGCTCAGTGGTCTAAAGCACCTACTTAGAACAAGCTTGGCAAAGCACAGGGACTGCGGTTCAATCCCCCAGCACCACACGCCAGCCAGGGCCGCCCCCTGGTGGGCTGAGCTGGCCACACACACACACACACACACACACACATAAATAAATAAAAGAAAGTTTATAACGAGAAACAAGTATACCCATCCCCAGACCCTCTTGCTGGAGACACCCTTCTTTCACAGTTTCAGCTATGTATTTGTTTTGTGACATTTGCTTCAGATTCAATCGTGTGCGTGACTGTCTTTATGTCTTAAAACTTAAGGCATTATTCAAAATCTTCAGGATTTAGGTCTTTTTGATGCTCTAACTCTAATTATTATTATATGATTTTTATTGTATATATTTTTTCTTTCTTTCTTTCTTTTTTTTTTTTTTTAGACAGGATCTCACTAAGCAGTTTAGGCTGGCCTTAAGCTTATTTTGTTGCCCAGGCTGCTCTCAAACTTGTAACAATCCTCCTGCTTCAGCCTTCTGAATGTGGGATTACAGGTATGTGCCACCATGCCCACCTGGCTTACATTTATTTATTTTGTTTTGTTTTTTCTGGGTACCAAGAATTGAACTCACTACCTCTGGCTTGCCAGGCAGGTGCTGTGCGGCTTAGTTTACATTTAAATAATAGAGCCAAATCTTTTGTTCCTCTTCTGTTAGTCCCAGATAGGATCTCCTGGATCTTCACTGAGTAAGGAGAGTGGCACCAGCCCCCTTCCCTGGAGCTGCAATCCTGATGCACAAAAGGGAGCTATGTCAATTCACTGAGTGAGTGACCTCGGTTTGGGGCTGTTCAGGTGGAATAGGTCACTATGGATGCCTCTAGGACTGTGGTGAGTGTTTTGGATGATGCTAGTCTTTTTTTTTTTTTTTTTTTTTAGGTACCAGGAATTGAACTCAGGACCTTGCGCTTGCCAGGCAAGCACTTATTCTACTGAGCTATCTCCCCAGCCTGGTACTAGTCTTCCTAGAAGCATTTAGACATTTCCCCACTCTAATAAGAAGCCAGGTCTAGGTGAAGAAAGGCAGGAGATGAACTGGCAAGAGAGAGATGAACTGGCAAGAGACTCAGGGGAGGTGGGGCCGGGAGATGGCTCAGTGGAACAAGCACTTCCCTGAGCCTGAGTTCAATCCCCGGTTCTGCCAAAAAAAAAAAAGAATCAGGAGACTGGGGGAGGTGGTGCTGCCTGGGAAGTCTGAGGCAAAGGCCCCCACTGGGTAGGAAACCATCTCCAGGATTTGAGGGTAGGTAACAGCTCCTGCTCAGAGAGAGATTGTTTGAAGAAGGGGCTGAGTGGCTGGGCAAGGCCAGAGGCCAGGCGGGATTTCCTTCAGCTCCAGCCCTCCAGTGGGTGGGACCGGATTGACCACGCTGCACACAGGAATCTGCCTTTGTTTCCAGCCAGAGGGGAAATGCCATAAATCCTGCCCCTTTCCCGCCCCTCCTGCATCTGAGCCCAGGCTCTGCCCTTCCCAGGACCAGAGGGCTTGGGCTGAGGGCCTTTGGAAAGTTTTTGTCTCCAGAGTCCCCAAATCCACAGACTTATGTCCCTTGTGCTCCCAAAGAAGGGCCCTTGCACAGATGTAGGGAACGGGGACCAAGAGAGTACCAAGGCTGGTCTGGACTGAATAGGCACGAAGGGGATCAGGTCAGGCCTGCTCCACTCTCTCCTTCCCGCAGAGGGGCCAGGGCTCTCAGTGGCCAAGAAAGTTAGGAGGCCTGAAGACAGGGCTTAAGGGCAAGACCTGAGTCCCTCAGCACCCCCAACTCTTGCTCCTGAGGGTCAGACAGACTCTGGAAGGCCACCACAGTCACACTAGCATTGTGTGGAGATGGGCACATGGTGTTGGGGAAAGGAAGGATGGGAGAGGAGAGTGAAGAGGAGGGCAAGCAGTAGGGGATCCTGTGTGCTTTGTGCACCTGTGTGACTAGATGTGTTTGTGTACCTGTGTGACTAGATGTGTCCCCATCCACTGGTGTGCATGGCCCCTCTGCAGACAAGTCAGACTGTGCATCCTGCGGTTGTGAGGCTGCAGGTCCCCACAAGTCCTAGCTGATGCATATCTGCATGTGACATTTGCCTGTGTGACTATGGTTGAAGTTTCATAGCTTGTCTATCTGGAGCAGGAGTGAGCAGGGTCAGGGGCTGGTGAGGGAGGGCCAAGTCTTGTCCTTAAGTCTCCCCCTCGCCTGGATGTCTTCCTTAGCAGCGGATACCCATGGTCTCTCTGAAGGCAAGCAGATAAGCGAGAAGATCCAGACCTATATAGGAGTCCTGGGTGGATAGGTTCCCTGGTGTGGCAGAGATCTGACAGGTGAAAGGTCCTAAGTGGTCAGGCCAGGGAAGAGACTGGAGGGATGGGGCTGGGGAGATAGTTCAGTGGCAGAAGCACTGTC